AGTTTTCGTGATCGGACATGTTTGCAACAGCGTAAGGTTCCATGTCACTATCGTCAGCCACTGCACTGTCTTCTTGCATGACTTTAGGTTCGAATTCTTCGTCAATGTTTTCAATAGCGTTAGCATCTTCTTCATTTTCCCCTGAAGCAGCGTACATGGCGTTTTCAGCTTTGGTCGTATCAGATACAGAATATACACAAGTGGCTTCTGGGGTGGGGATATCATCATTATCTGTCTGTCTGCATGTTGACATTCTTGTTGGATTTGCAGTGCTTTCAGTGTATAGCATATTCTGATCAGGGTCTTCATTTTGATCTGGGCTTGTCGGCTCCTCTGGATGGTTTGTAAGATATACTGGATTGTTCTCTCTTTCCTGGCTCATTCTGACTCTATTGGCAAAAAGATTGTGAGAATGAGATGTACAGTACTTCCACAAATTGTGTTGTGACAATGGCCAAGTGTCGGGTAGACAGGAGATCGTAAGGTTATGGGTTCGATTCCCAAAATTCCTGGCTAGATATTACATCCTTGGGAAAGTCACTTTACACAACTTTCCTCACTCTACCCAATTTTTGCAAGTGGAAATAACCACTACCTGGTTCCTGGCTAGAGTTTTGCAGGTAAAAAGCTGCAGAAGAAAAGGGGTTTTGCCTTCCATACTGTGCCCAAAACATAGCAATTAAAAACCTACCACCCCTTTAGCCTCAAAGGCTATACATGTAGCTATGAGACCTTTTAGTAGACCTAGTATACAGGTACTAGACATATGCCCCAAGCATATGCCCACAGTAGGAATTGGTTGTCAAATGTACCTACGGGCCTTCGTATGTACTACTATGGTACATGTACTGTACCGTAACAGTGGGAATTGGTTGACAAATGTACTTACGGGCCTTCGTATGTACTACTACAGTACATGTACAGTACCGTACTAGTACCTACATGTATATGGGTACAGGTATTAACCATATTTCTTAGTAGCAAGGAGGTTTTGCTCAGTGCAATTGCTACTAAAGAAAGCACTTCTAGGCACTGAACTATTAAAAATAAAGCACACTGGTGTCTGGAACAGCATCTCTTTGCCTAAGTCACAACCATCAATGCTGAAGACGCTGACCCAATAGGAGAAGCAGGGGTTATGAAGGCTGGTTGGAAATGTAGTTCATGACTCAACACTTACCGTTAGGTGAAGCCTTGAAAACTGCTTGAAGTATATGCTGGACTTGATTCAGCTGTCTTGGACTCTGTTCCTAGCAAATTTTCTGGTCAGGAGAAACTCTGCTTTCTGCAGACAGTGATACAATTCCGTCAAATGACGGAAAAACGGCTGCTGGCTAGAACCCTGAAGTCAGGTCTGGGTGAGGTGTGGTGCTCCCAGCTACATGAAGTAGACTAATAAGTAGATTAAGAACTGCTTATGGCATGATGAAACAAGATGCACTTTTGAACTTTTTTCTTTTAATGTCATCTCGTGCTGATGAGCTGTTGATTGGATGCTTATTAATTTTTTTTTTTTGCCACAGGCCACCCACACACGCAGACAATTATTCAACAACAAAAGTGCAATATGTGATTGATTGATTGATTGATTGATTGATTGATACATGTATAATACTAGTAGTAGATAGATACCAAACACTGTCTTAGTTTATGTAAAATTTCAAGTAGTTTTATAGTATATCTGCCAATAAATTTCTGAAATAATTACATGACTAATTCCAGATGCCATTTCACCTTTAATTTAATTTTTTTTCATATTGTTCAATCCAACAGTTGTGCAAGAATCAACCCATTGATGTAGTGGAATCAACCATCCTTCTTCGAGGGGAGGTCCTGAATTTCAGCGGCATCACCAATGAATGGTCAATAAGGTAACTCACAGATGACCTGGTGACCAATGACCATACTCATATGGGTCAGCTTAGGGGTGGTCAAGCCGGCCAGAGTTTGTTTAGCACCTGATCGTAGCAGCTGGACGTTTGAAATATGTCCTGTTTCCCCTGTCCAGTTACATTCTGTGACAAAGCTGAAATAAATAAATAAATAAATGAAAATATTGGCATTTCTATGTTTTGATGGAGGTGGGAGGGGCTTTACGGTCGGGTCTATTCAAGGAGGTTCAAAAAGGGTCTATTCTAATAGAATGCATCTTTGATGGAAGAAATATTGTTTCTGTAAGATGCACTAAATTGTACTAAAAGCATCCTGTATTCCCCTACAGAGGACATCAAACTGAACTGAATGATCCCAAGAGAAGCTGGATGTTACTGTTGAAGAGAACAGCTGTGTGCAGTGACTAACATACAATGTAGTTAGGCCACAGCAAGTAATTTTCATGGATGACATCAGTGCGCACATTAATTTTCGCCTGATTTTAGCGGTGCACACACCAATTCTTCCGCGACAGGGGTCCACTGTAGTGCCCGGAAAAAAAGTGACGAAGGGGTTCCGGTGGTTCATGTTTGAGTTTACATTTCTCATAATCTGCTGCAAAATGGGATTAACTACTAACATGGCTGGAAAGTGTAAGAAGTGGCGTGTTTTGGGTGAAAATTGATTTCGGGCCCGAGGCTTACTTCCGGGTGTCCTTCCGCCCTGAGCGCGGTGCTTCGGTTTGACCTAGTTTTGCCTTGTATGCGTTCTGGGGGTGCTGTAGCTATGCCTCGCGCGACGCGCTATTGTGATAATCTCAGTGTTAGGATTTTCTTTATACTTTTCTTAATAATACATAAGGGTTTTCTCTTTCCGACCATATAAGTCATATCGGTGGCTAAAATCTGGGTGATGGGTTTAATTCCACGTGAAAATGGCCAATTTTTGGCATCATTTTTCATCGAAAAATTCTTTTTCCCCCTAAAATTTACTAAAATGTGAGAGGGGAAAGAAACTGAAATTCTATTGTTCTCGTAGCTAGAGGGATATCCTTCATTTGAAAACAGAGTGTTTTGGCTTAAGAGGTATTTCCTGAAAGAGACGGTCGCTAGAGTTGAGGGTATGCAGAATCGAATTGAGACCCAAAATAAACTGGGGTGTGCCCCCTTAATCCAACCCATCCTGCAAAAATTTGTGGCCGTGAAAGCCGGAGAATTGTTTTCTCCCAGTAAAGTGCGTACCCCACGTCCAACCATAGCAAAAATAATTCGGATTTCGC